AGACAATCGCGCCTCACCTGGCCATAAAGCGGGTCCCAGAACTGGTTTGGATGAACAAGTCCATAGATCACTTTCTCTCCTTCTGCTTGAAATGTGTCTGAAAATTATGGTTATTTGGTGAGATGGTACAGGTTTAGCGCCCCTATCAACACTGTTGGGTTATTTACGACGACTTCTTCATCTAATCATTGTTTTGCAAGTGCCGAAAACAGGTCTCTTTTATCGGGATTTCATTCATTAGACGAAGAACTATCAAAATAGATTCATTTGCTTCATTTAATGACCAATTTAGTTGACATTTTTGTCATTTTTAGATTTTACACCAATAAAAAAGGCCCCGGCATAGTCGGTTTACCCCCTTGGAGATAAACAGTTACGCAAAAATTTGTGCCATACGAAAACTTACTGAACATCCTGTCCCAGACAATGAGGGTCCCCCCCATAGTTTTGTCGATGCAGTAAGGGTTACGACCGTGGTGGCTGGCTGTGTTCCCATCGCGAGCCTTCCTTTACGACGACTTCGACAAAAATTATTTTTTAACAATTGCCGAAAACAGGTCTGTTTTATCGGGATTTCATTCATTAGACGAAGAACTATCAAAATAGATTCATTTGTTTCATTTAATGACCAATTTAGTTGACATTTTTGTCATTTTTAGATTTTACACCAATAAAAAAGGTCCCGGCATAGTCGGTTTACCCCCTTGGAGATAAACAGTAACGCAAAAATTTGTGTCGTGTGAAAACTTACTGAACATCCTGTCCCAGACAATGAGGGTCCCACCATAATTCTTGTCGATGCAGTAAGGGTTACGACCGTGGTGTACACGGTGGTGGCTGGCTGTATTCAGGATGTACTCCAGCGGACCAATGGAGTGGACCACCTGTATGATAGATGGATGGATGGATGGATAGATACACACACACACACACACACACGCACACACACACACACGCCCGCCTGCATGCACTTGTTCTGCGGTATTTACTGCGATTGTATAATTGCGCAGCAATCTTAAGATTTCTCTGCTTGTTTTAATAATTGTATAATTGCGCAGCAATCTTAAGATTGTGTTAATATTATTATATGTTTTTTAAATAATTTTTAAATAATTTTTTTAAAAATTCACTTTCATATTTATTCTTTTTCTCACATCAAGTAACATTCAAATATATTTTCAAAAGTGTAAAAATGTGAAAACTTAAATTAAAATTAACATCAACATTTGAAACTGAAGAGCTCACAAGAATGATACAATGTGTTTTTTAATTTTTAGATATTATTTTTTTTAATTCACTTCCATCTTTATTCTTTTACTCATATCAAGGAACATTCACGTATATTTTCAAGAAGTGTAAAAATATGAAAATTAAAATTAAAATTTACGTGTGAAACAAAAGAGCCCACAAGAATGATACAATGCCAGGTATCAAACTCAAAGTTTACAAAGTACATTTAATTTAATTAATTTTTAAAAAATAGTTTATTTGTTTAAAATTCACTACCATCTTTATTCTTTTGCTCACATCAAGGAACATTCACATATATTTTCAAAAGAGTAAAAATAAGGAAATTAAAATTAAAACTAAAATTAAAATTAAGATATGAAACTGAAAAGCTCACAGGAATGATACAATTATATGATCTTTAAAAAGCACTGCGCAATCTAAGATTGCACCGATCGGTAAATTGGGCGGAACATTTTTGTTTGTATAACTGTAGGGATATCTTCAAGACTCATGCACTGGGAAAACCCTCATCTTGATCTGTAAGTAAGCCTGCAAGCTGTGTTCTATAATATCTGCAACAGTTACCTTAGCCGGGAGTGTTTTTAATGTACTCTAGTAGCAAAGTGGATACTAATTGGAGATGGCTCCTGTTTTGGGGCAAGAGATGTCATTATTCTGTCTGCCAAGGTTGCATCATTTTGGTATATATGACTTAATCAGGCTGAATGGGGGAAAATTGGTGCCTGACATTTAGCAAATGTTTTGGGATGCAACTTTTGAAATGGTATCCTGAAATTGTACATTTTGGGGGTTATGTATTTGTGTATCTCTAAATGTCCTTTGCCGTGAAGGCCTGTGGTTGCATGCACAGCGCGTGTCGCTTTCCCCATAGATAGAAATGTGCTGCAAGCCACTGGAAAATATGTTAGTTAAAAATAATAAGAGTATGATAAGAAATAATATTCTGTGTAGGCTAATATGTTAGTAAGAAATAATAATATATTTTATACAGTAAGAAAGAATACGTTTTGTAGACCAATATATTTGTAAAAAATAATATATTGTGTAATATAAAATAATACATTTTGTAGGCCAATATGTTAGTAAGAAATAATATATTGTGTAATATAAAATAATATTTTGTGTAGGCCAATAAGTTAGTAAGACATAATATATAGTATAATAAAAAATAATATACTGTGTAGACCAATATGTTAGTAAGAAATATTGTATTGTTCAGAAAGAATTAATACTTGAGTAGGCCAAAGTTAGTTAAAAATAATGTATTATGCAAAAGAAATAATATATTGTGCATGCCAATTGCAATATAAATATGTGAGGCAGCTAGGTGAAATCAGGCTCTCGTCAAAATAATCAAAGTGAAGAAACCTGCTTTTTTCCGCAGGTTTGTGAATTTTTATTAAATTTTTGTTTTTTGGCTCAACACCTTTCATGCCCATTAAAGAAATCATTTCTGTGTGGATTTTCCTGAAAAACGATAATTAGAGGCAGAAAAAATGGAAATTTTCAGTTACCACGGACTTTTAAGCTATGGAAATAACTAATCTTTGGAGGCCATTTTCTCTCTAACTTTTCCTCTGAAAATAGGTGACCCCCCACCTCCTTCATTAGCAAATATCTCAACTTGTATTCTAGATAAATTGATATTTTTTTCATCCAAATAAAGACAAGTGAACAAGCTTTAAAATTATACCAATAACTCTACATGCCCAAAAATTGACGAGAGCCTGATTCCACCACGCTGCATCACATATAGATCTATTATGTTTATAAGAAAAAATATATTGAACAGAAAGAAATAATAAACTGTGTATGCCAATGGCAAAATATGTTATGAAGAATAAAATATTGTGTAGTAAGAAATAATATATTGTGCTTGCCAGTTTGTCGCTTTTAAGGACAAGCGGGCTAACCCAGATTTCGGGGGTGTCCAGAAATCTTAACTTACACCAAAAGTGGGCATTTCCCTACCTAGGAAAAGTTTGGTTTCATTGGTGTGTATATTTGTTTGGTTATAGAGAAAACTCACCCTCTATTGTAAAGAAACTGAACAAGGGTCCAAAGACATTACCTTCGATTTTCTCAAAACAACATTTTTCCAGATAGCCCCCTTGTGCTTAAAAGAGACCAATTAATGGTTGTTGGTAAGATATCATCTTTGTTATATAATACAGAAAGAAATAATATACTTGCCCTTGGCAATATATGTTAGTAAGAAATAATACACTGTCCAGTAAGAAAAAATATATTGTGTAGGCCAATGACAATATATTATGTCAGTAAAAAAAATAATATACAGTGCATATTAAAGGCGAAATATGTTAGTAAGAAATTATACATTGTCCATGCCCTGGTTAGTATGTTAGTAGAAATAATACATTGCGCATGCCTCTGGCAAATATGTTTGTATGTCGCAATTCTGTATTGTACCATAACTACTTTCATATGTATATATATTTACCAAGACAAATTAGATGTGTGTTTAACATAATAGCCGCAGTAAAGGTTTACTCCAAGATGGCAGTGTGCGTGTTTTACTCCCCAATCAACATAATTTATGTCTTTTGGGAGTTGGGCTAATACAACGTTGCCTGTCACTGACAGCCACATCTGAAAAGGACAAATCATCGGAGGTCCTACGTGCAAGTTGCACACATTAAAGATCTCTTGGTGGTCCTGAAATCGATTAGATTGGACTGACTTCGGCCGCCACATGGGCAAAATTCAAAATTCTTACCATACTGAAAATTTTAATGTGTCCCAAGCGCTCATATGACCCTATGCAGTCGCAAGCGCAGTGTAAAGCACTTACCAAAACAAAACAACAAACAAAAAAGAGTAGAAACTCAAAAAGGGATACCTTTCTTTTGATGGCCAGTTTATTTTTTAGGAACAGATGATATTATATTGTATTACATGTATTGTGAAAATGCTGTTTTCTGTGTAAGTTTATCTGTTTATTTGTTTGTTTGTTTGTTTGTTTGATTGAAAAGGACAAGGCTGAATACAGCCATGATAAGACTGGCTGAAGACAGATAGTATGACTTACGCCCTCTCCCAACACAAAATGGCGATGTAAAAAGAGGCAGTACTTCTGATGTAAAGTAGAATAACGTTACGCCCACTCCTGTACGCTCTTATACTAATATATATTTTCGATGCCCTTTCGAAAGTAATAATTGTGTTAAAGAAATAATACACCGTAAATACCGTTGTTTTGGACACTTGTTTAATCAGGCACACGGCGTAATTTAATGCTCTCTCATCCTCTCACTTCTGCACTACTCGTTGTCTCAACTGGGCCTCTATCTCCCCGTGACCTACTTCCGATAAGGCGGCCTGTTCTCTGATCGTCTACGCCCACTCCCAACGCAAAAGGGTTATAATAATTATACTAGAAGAGACAGTACTTCTGATGTACCGTCCATCTCCGGTAGCAACACCAGCAGGATGGGTGGAGAGCCATGAAAACTCCACCGACAAACCACGAGTTTGTGGGTGGTTGGTGGGTGATCTGGAGCGGTTTGCTCCTTTTTTCCTATCAAACATGATCTATCGTCCTGATCTCTCATCCATCTTTTTGGTGTTTGTTACTCTCTTGTAACGCCTCTAATCTTCCGCACTTTCATGACCTTATTGTGTTGCAAGTGCCGTAAAGCTCTTACTGGAGCTAAAACCACGACATTCAAGAATGTGGTAATTGGGATTAGAACAATTGTTTCAACATTCATTTCCACTCATTATAACGCATTCAAAAAATTAAATGAAGACACACTCAATTGTGTGTCTGTGTGAGCGTAAAAACATGGGCATTAAATTTAAATTTAAAAAACAGACAAAAAAAAAAAGAAAAGAGCCCAGTTTCATGGACAACAACAACATAGAAAACGTTATACATGTACTATACACACAATAATATCGAACAGTTGTGGGACTGTTTTTATTGCTGTAAGGAAATCGTTACCTCAGAATTATAAACCTCTATCCGACATTCTTGGCCGCTTTGAGTTACCTACATCATGATGGCAGAAACCAGTTATGTTCTATCTGCTCGATCATATAATTATAACTCGTAAGATTATTCGGAGTCAACCAAAGATAGGCTATAGCGTTCAAAGAATTGCATTCGAAAAAGCTAGACGTGTTGTGAAACTCAAAAATTTTTACGTTAAATTTGGATTTACTTGGATTTACTTGGATCCAGAGCTAGAATCATAGCAGGCGGCACATGTCCATAGCTGCTCATCTCTCCTTTCCAGCGTCCACCTCAGGGTCTTCCTGCTAATTGTCTCCATGAGGAGCTGGTTTGAGACACGCCTGACCACTCCTCGGAGCAAACTTTTTTTCGCTGTGCCCCGCACACACTTTTCTTCTATTGTGCTGAGTGTGTGGGAGTCTGACTCCTCTTGGTTGTGAATGCTCTCCTTCGTTAAATTTCTCAAAACTAGGTACTGAGCAGACAAAACTTTGTAATTCTGATGTAACGATGATGTGAAACTCCTCAAAATCGTTGACGTCAAATTTCTCAAAACTAGATCTAGGTCTACCTTGCAGATAAAACTTTTTAATTCTGATGTAGCGAAGTGGCTTCTGTCAAGATCTTGCTTCTTTGTTCAAGTAGAAATCTCTGCTGGACGTCGTTTTTTGTGTGATAGTTTTTAGTTCTAAAACCAGGACTATTGGGGTTTTTTTAGAAACGGAACCTGGAGCTTTAATTGTCCGTCTGCAAGATGACACGTGGAAACTCTCAGGACAAAAAATATCCACATCGGTAGATTCTATCTATCTCACTCCTTTCTGGAAAGTCTCCGTCTTGTTGGCATCACTTGGCAGAATTCCGGGCTACTTCTGCGACACGTGACGTTATGTCAGAGAGAGTTACATGAGAGGTTATCTTTCTTTCAGCACTGCAAGGCCATTTCAGAGAGGGTTCTGGAAATGTTATCCTTCTTTCAGCACTGCAAGGCCATTTCAGAGAGGGTTCTGGAAATGTTATCCTTCTTTCAGCACTGCAAGGCCATTCCAGAGAGGGTTCTGGAAATGTTATCCTTCTCCAGCACCTGAGGCTATGTCATAGATGGGACCTGGAGATTAATGTTATCCTTTTTCCAACACCACGAGGCTATGTTATTGATAGGGCCTTCCAGCTTAGTGATGTTATGTTATATATAGAAGGGACCTTCCAGTAACATGAGGTTATGGTATAGATGGGACATTCTAGCATAGTGAGGCTATTTATAGACGGGACCTTCCAGTAACATAAGGCTATATATTATGTTAAACATGTAAATGGGACCTTTCAGCACAGTGATGTTATGTTATAGGTGGGACCTTCCAGCACGGTTAGGCTTTATTATAGACGGGACCAAGCGAATATTAATCTTCCGTATGCGACACGACACCATGACCGAGAACGGGCCACGGTCGTTATAACGTAAACATTTTGTCAGTAACAACCAGTGTTAGTTTTCTTGTCTTCAGCCCCCTCCTGACGATTATGTAGAAGGCGGACGCTACTGGGAGGTACGTTCTTACATCATCAAATCTTTCCCTCTCCCTGTTTCTGTTTCTCTGTCTTTTCCCTTCAACACTCATTTACCCAATTATTTGTTGTTTTTATTTAGCCAAGGAACGTTTCTTTACTTTAAGAAAAACAAACAAACCCGACCCCCCCCCCCCCCCACACACACACACACACAAAGGCATTGCTACAGACTGAAGTTGTCTTTAGGCCATTCCCAAAGGGGAGAGGGGGGGGTATTAACGTGTTCTCATGCACAGTAGAATTGTAAATGGGCTGATTCGTCAAGGTCATGTTCATACTGTACCGGAACAACATAGGGAGAACTGCTGCTTTTTCTTTCCTCATCCTTACTATCGTCATTTTTCCTCTACTTCTTTTGTATGTTTGTCACTCTCTTGTGAACTGCTATTTTCGGGGGGTGCCTTGATAGTCGAAGCAGCCTTTGTGTTTTTGAGGCTAGAGAGATGAGTAGAGTAAGTCTGATTCCCCGTTTGGACTTCTCTGTTGCCATCCACCCTTTGGCGCTCATATTATGACCTTATAGCGTTGTGAGCGCCGTAAAACCTTACTAAAACCGTTCCCGTGGTTTTATGCACCCCGCATAATTTAGCTAAATTAGATCATTTTTTGCTTAATTTCTTATTATTTTCCTTCATTTTTCTTTGTTAAAATTAAAATTAACAGAACCGCACAATTTCACATTTTTGGGCTCAGTTTGCTTAATTTCGTTATTTTTTATTTTTTGTGCATAAAACCACGGGGACAGCTAAAACAGGAGCTGTCGCCCTGTGCCAGCGACCGCCCTAGGACAGAGGAATCCAGCCAGGCCGTATGTAGTCAGCCACTGCCCTAGGACAGAGGAATCCAGCCAGGCCGTATGTAGTCAGCCACTGCCCTAGGACAGAGGAATCCAGCCAGGCCGTATGTAGTCAGCCACTGCCCTAGGACAGAGGAATCCAGCCAGGCCGTATGTAGTCAGCCATTAACTTGTCCTTATTGTACATCATGCCGACGTCCTCTTTGGCGAAGTCCTTGAAGTACACGACCTTGCCCTTGCTCAGATACCCCGCCCACCACGACACGGAACCGGAACTGATGACGCTGTGCTCGGCAAGGGAGAGCACTGCCAGACCGACTTCCGGCTGTGTACTTCCGACAAAGTGCACGTTAGGTAGTCCCTTTAAGTTGTGCCGACACCATGCCGCGTCGTCTGACACTACCAGGAAAGCGTGCGGTCGTTTGAGCCTCTTGCTGAAATAGTTCATGGCTTTCACGTAGTAAGACTTTGGGGCGACGTTGTATCCGAATTTCTCGATTTCTTCGTGGTGCTTCAGTTCCGTGTACACATGAACGCCGATCAGGGTTATGTTTGAGCTTGATTGCTTGTGATGCTGTAGGAGATCTCTAATTATCTCCTTCGCAGTTGAGATAAGTTTGGGTTTGAAAGCTAAAGATTTCCTCACAAAACTGTCCATATCGTTGAAATATTTCCAAGACTGCAGATATCCGTCTATGTCGTAGTTCTTCATCGTGTCGATCTGCGCGACATTATCGTCGAAATGACAGCACGTTCTCTCCGCCAAGTGCACGACACTTTTGCAATGGTTTTTCCCCACCCTGAACTTGGTTTCTCGAAGAACGTTTTCGAGAGCCACATTCCCGCTGGCAAGGAAGAGTCTGTTTTGATGACGCGTCATTCCTAATATGGAAGCGTACTGGAACAAAAGGTCTCCCAGATTCCCTTTGAATTTGTGGCAAACGATATGGCGTCCGTTGTACGTCCGCTCTGACTTTGGTAGACTTCTGCTGTCGCTGGGCATGTCGCCTTCCGGGTCAAAGTTCTCCAGGAACACCGGAAGTGAGAGTTTGTAGACAAAGACCGTCATGACGATGAAGACAAGGCAGCTGCCACAACCTGTCGGGGGGGGGGCGGGGGGAGGAAAGGGAAGTTTCTGTCAGATCACGTGAGACACTATTATTGGTTTCTTTGTTTAGTTGGTTGTTTATTTGTTTGTTTGTTATCGTTTGTTGTTGTTGTTTGTTTGTTTGTTTGTTCGTTGTTTTAGTTTTGTTTGGTTTGGGGGGTTTTCGGAGGAGGGGTGGTTTTGTGATTTCTGCTTTTTCTAACTGTCCCTGATGTTACTTTTTCTTTTTTTTAAATATGGTAAGATAACAATAATGACATTTTAATGATACTGACCTTTACAATACCGCGGGCAATCGATTTCTTTTTATGACCGTAAAACTTTATAAATGCCTAAATGCCAGGTACTGGAAATACGAGACACGTACTTTTAGTGCCCAGGGAAAATAAATAATTTGATCTAGTTATCGAGGAAGCTTTTGGGTACTTTGGAAAACCATTTTTCTTTGAAGATGATCGCAAGTGGGAGGGGGGTGATAGCTGAATGGTGGAAATAAAAACGTGGGTATTCTATTCTTTAGTTTTAGTAAGAGTTTTGCGGCAATTGCAATACTGTAATGTCATATAAGTGTCGAAGGTTAGATGTGTTACAAGAGAGTAACAAATATGATCAAAAGGAGGAGAGATCAGGACGATAGATATTTGACAGGAAAGAAGGAGCAAACCACACTAGAGCACACACCAACCACCCACGTATGCTATTCTACATCGAAACAAAATATTATATTTATTTATGGTAAAATGTACTGACATAAAATAGGAAAATGAAAAAGAAGAATTAATTTGTTTTTAAGTAGAAGGAAAGTCAATTATGAAAGGAGTGTGTGACAAATACAAAGGTAGAAAACTTTCCAGTAAGACAAACACCCCCCCCCCCCTCCCCCCAAACCAGGACAGTGCTACTGATTGAAGTTGTCTTTAGGCCATTCCCAAGGGGGGGGGGGGGTATTCACATGTTCTTATGCACGGTAAAGATTATTGTAATTGAGCTGATATTTATCAATGTCATGCTCATTCTGTGCGGGAGCAATACAGGGGGAACTGCTACTTTTTCTTTCCTCATCCTTACTATCGTCATTTTTTTCCTCTATTTCTTTCGTATGTTTGTCACTCTCTTGTGAACCGATATTTCCGGGGTGCCTTGATAGTTAATGATAGTCGAAGCAGAATTTATGTTGTCGAGGCAAGAGAGGTGAGCAGAGTAAGCCTGATTCCCCGTTTAGACGTCTCTGTTGACTTCAACCCCTTGGCGGTCATATGACCTTATGCAGTTGCGAGCGCTGTAAAAGCCTTACTAAAACAAACAAAGGAAAGGCAAAGATGGAAAGGAGTGTGACAAATACACAGATAGAAAACTTTCCTCTGAGACAAACAGGCAGACAGACAGGCAGGTAAACAGAACAAAATGTCTGAAAAGAAGGGGGGGGGGTAGAAAGAGCAGATAATTTTTGTTTTCTCCGAAACTGTGACTGCTTGCACTTATAACAACGGAACAGGAAACTCAGCGTTACTCATTTTTCAATTATTCAAATATTTATACCTCTTACCTTTTATTTTTGTGCCCATTTTATCGTCCACAGCGGAATCAAAGTGTTCATGGGATGTTGATATGCACAATGGGAGGTTGATATGCACCGGTATGCACTGATATGCACACTGGTATAGCTGTCTTTAGTCAGAGTACTTGAAAGTGTGTAGAAATTCACCTACAGAAACGTACACTGGCGGTGCCAAATCGTGCTTCACGACAACACCTACTCTCTACCAGTGATCTAAGTCTTGACAGTGACGTGACCATGTGTTGGATTCAACTTTTTAAATAAGACTGTTAGTGTTCACCATCATCATTGCCTTTCTCACCCTGCTCCAGGGTGTAGGCCACGAACAAACACTTTCCACCTTTCTCTATCCTGGGCTAGCCTCTTGATGTCACTCCATGTCTTCCCACTTTTCTGTACATCACCTTCTGTAATTCTTCTCCAAGTTCCACGCGGTCTTCTCCTTGATCTCTTACCCTGTGGATTCCAATCGAACACTCTCTTTGTTATGCAGCTGCCTGACTTCCTGAGAGTATGTCCTCCCTCTCTGCCAAGTACACTCCCAAGACACCAGAAGGATTCAACGTACTCTTACTGTTACTGATCCCATAATCCACGAGGGTCGTAGGGGCGCTGTATAACGACAGAAAGCCACGTCAGATGCATCCACTCTTCATGAGTTTCTTCACTGTATAATACGATTCACTGTATTTAATTTACAATACTACCTTCCTTGAAATGTCCCCGTGCGAATTCTTAAACACATGGCACACGATACAACTCGGTCCTCACTGTCGTAGTCACACATTCACACATCGTGCGTGTAAAAATATAAAAGCATTACATTTCCCGCGGTAGAAAATGTTATCGACATGTATGCGAGGGCGAAGTAAATAGTCTTGAAGTTGAAGAAGAGCCGGCCCGCCAATAATAGAGTGAGCTTGCGTCGGTTCTTCACTCTCAGAGGAGTGTCTTTCTGGAAAAATTGATTTAACAATACAACTCTGGCTGGCAGTAGTGTGTGTGTGTGTGTGTGTGTGTGTGTGTGTGTGTGTGTGAGAGAGAGAGAGAGAGAGAGAGAGAGAGAGAGAGAGAGAGAGGGAGAGAGAGCCTTTGTTTCCACAGACTAGACCAAAAACGTAAATACCCAACACACACACCCTAGGCGATATCCTCAGTTCGTAACCTTATCCCTGGGCTAGTCCATGTCTGGTGTCCTTTATTCCTCTCTCACTCTCTCCTTCTCTCTCCCCCCTTCTCTCTCCCTCCTTCTCTCTCCCTCCTTCTCTCTCCCTCCTTCTCTCTCCCTCCTTCTCTCTGCCTTTTTCTTTCACCCTCTCTCCCCTTTCTCTCTCTCTCTCACTCTCTAGCTATCTTGCTCTCTCGCTCTCTCTCTCGCTCTCTATCTCGCTCTCTCTCTCTATCTCTCTATCTATCTATCTATCTATCTATCTATCTATCTATCTATCTATCTATCTATCTATCTATCTATCTATCTATCTATCTATCTATCTATC